CAAGAACTGAAAAAATAATAATAATAATAATAAACATGTTATTCACTGAAGTTCAGCCTTTAGTTTTCATATGATCATTGGATCAGTTAAAATCATAAAATCAAAATGAATAGTAGATGATTTTCATTGTTAGTTTCATAAATTTTAATGATCACAATGAGTGGTGGGAATATCATTATGTAAAAAAACTTGAAAGTAAAGCTTTCGATTTCTTTATTTTGTATAGGGAGACGCATGTAAATATATCTAAAATAAGTTGCTATTTTTGTTTTGTTGGAATATTGTAATGATAAAATTTTAATTTTTTTTTAGCTAAGCATTCATTTTTGCTCCTAAACGAGAAATCCTTTATTCACCTATGATATGAAAATAATTGTTCCAATGCAAATCTACTTTGTAAAAGAATGTTTATTGACCATTTTACCCGTGGATCAAAACTGAAAAAGTACAATACCATAGGGACCAAATTTGTAATATTCTATTATGCTTTACTTGAAATTTCTAATATTTGCAAAATTGGACAATTTTTTAAAAATTTACATCGAAGTTAGGATAAGAGAAATTACAAACATTGTTACCGTGTATAATTTGTTTTAACTTTCAAGTGCAAAATGACGATTATTATAAAATTGAAAGGTAGGCTATTCACTTAGACCACTTAGAGACTAAAATTAACAATAACCTAAAAAAACCAAGATAAAATATAAGTTATTAAATAAAATTATAGTGCTATTAAAAAGAGAAGAAAATTATGTTTTACAATAACTATTTGCATATTTTATCTTTTAGGGAAAAAAATTCATCTAAACTCTAAATCTAAAACCCTAAACAAATATGAAACATTGTAAAGGAAACCATTTGACGAAACATTACATGCTCTTTGTAATATGACAAATTATTTGTCGAAAAGAAATAATATCTCCAATAAAACTATCTAACGCCCACCAAAAAGACACTATCTTCCGATTGAAATATTAGCCGAACAGAAAGTATTCACCGCCCCAGATTCCATGCCTGTCACATAAAGTTCAGAGACAAATAATGCCAAAGGTAGGTATTTTATCTTCCATAATCGGTTTTCTCTCACGGACAATTTTATGTAGAATTATCCAGAGGGATATCACATGTTAATATAAAAGTATTAGTAAAACCTGACAAACAATTCAACGACAGTGAAGTCTATATATCAAATGTGGTGTATAAAGAAGTGTTGCACGATTAATAATGTACAGTCAATCATGTGTCCGTACACATTTATAAACAATCCTAACTCTTTATTTTTTAATTCTTATTTATTTTGTATTTGTTAGCGTAACTCTTATTGATAATTGTTTAAAATGTAGTAAACTATTTGGGCAAAAGAACTAAATATTTTTTTTGATTTTTAACGATCTATCTCTTCAATACTTTATTTTTCTTTTAATTATTATTTCTTTGTGTAAGTTCTAAGCACTGACGAACAAACGACACCACGAACCACCAGGAATGGCCACATACATATAGTACCATCATTACCGGCCATCTTCAACCTTGGTACAATTTTGTTTCATAAAAGGTAGAAAACCTTATCATCTAATCTTATTTTAATTGTTTTTTCCCTTTTTGATTTTGCATTTAGAATCTTGATGATCATTTCACTTGTATTTAATTGGATGGTATTGATGTTGAAGTAACCACATACCCTGATGTTGCATTTCATCCAAGAAGGGAGGTTAAAACCTAAGTTTCTACAAACAAGTAGAGAATGAATAATATTTTAGCTTTTGGTTTGTATTCATCTGGATGTTTATTTTTTGTTTTAAACTGTTTTGTGATATGTTGAATATTTGCATATTCTTTGTATTTTTTGTTTTGGTTATAGTAAAGGTTAGGATATGATTTCACTAAAATTATAATGTACTTTTATTTGCATTGAAGAATCAAAGATTGCAATTAAGTTTATTTAAAAATCCATTTGTTTTTATTAAAAAGGATATATTAAAAAAAAGTCATATTTATTAAAAACTTTTTTAAATAATTATTTGTTAAGAAAACATACATAAGGCATATCTTAAAGCTATATTAAAAAATACTGTAAACTTCAATTTTTTTTACCAAAAAATTATGTAGAATGTTATTTCTGAGAAGAGAGTTCTTGAAAATTTTGTTCGGATTTTGACAATATATATATATATATATATATATATATATATATATATATATATATATATATAAGTTTTGTTTTAAGTTTAACTCTTTCATGGTTTAGAACAAGCCCAACTGGACCACAAACATATTGTTATGGACTAAACCGGTTCTGTTCCGAATGTGTCTTTATGGTTACAAAGTCATGATCCAACCTCATTAAGTCATCTTCCAGCCTAATAAATCAGTTTCCGGCCCATTAATTCATTTTTAACCCTATTAAGTACCATTTTAGTGATCCAACCTCATTAATTCAAGATCTAAGTCATTTTAGTGTACCACGGCTCCGTTAAAAGTTGGATGCTCGGTAATATTGTTATAAAATATTGACCAATCAAATGGATTGTGTAATTACACTATATTGATATGCAAAAGTTCACAGCACAATGTCATTGTGCAGAAATAGTTGTTGGTCAACATCCTCGCAAAAGATTTTTTTCCAAGGATTCCTTTTTGTTTGTCCGAAGATGACATGTTCTATTCAAGCTTATGTTTTGTGATGACGATTAATAAAGCTCATTGACAAACAATTCTGAATGTAAGTATATATCTATCAGAATCGGTATTCTCGCATGGACAACTTTATGTTGCATTATCCAGAGGGACATCACTTAGAAAAACAAAGGTATTAGTGAATCCTGAAAAAAAAAGTTCAAGGATGACGAAATATATACCTTAAAGGCGGTGTATAAAGAAGTGTTGCATGATTAATATTGTACATAAATGGTCCATGTGGTTTCCCAGAATCTTGGTGTTCGGCCCAAACTTTTTTGCGTTGCATATAACTAGGTATTTTTGGTTATAACTGGTAAAAAAACCTCACCGTTTTACCTTGATTTTATTTAAATTTGACCGAGAAATCGTTGATGTGATTCTGTAAGGAATGTTTTTTTATTTTTTGGATATTTATTTTAAAAAAAATGTCTCTTTGATATGTTATTTGCTCTAACACTTTTTTATCCATTTCAGTTCCTTTTTCCCTCAAAAACGCAGTTTCCAATCTTATTAGCCTTTTGTTCCTCCTCAATGCAACCTCTGATTCTAGGCTGGTGAATGTTTCATTGATTTGATAATGTTTATAGTTAGGTTTAATTAAATATTGATTTTATTATTTCTGTTGAATGTTAACTGTTCTAAAGGAAAATCGATGTTTTCATAATAATAGATTGAAACACTATTTTTTTGAGTGAATTAATTTTTGTTTTTTTATAGGGGAAAGGTCCGTGACAGGCTCTAACTAACTAGCTTAAAAGATCGAGGGACTTTGGAAACATAACACTATTTGCATCCTTTTTTGCTCAAGTGGTTAATGAAACTGGTTTGACAAAGAAATATATATTAGGTGCTTGAGTAGACTCAAAAAAGGAATCAAGGTAAGCATGAAGTTACCACATAAGTGCTTTGCTACTAGCAATGAAGGTTTATATATTGATCTCTTTGACAATAAAAAGGATAAAACGAAAAAAAATAGAAACATAATTTTCTCTCTTGACCAATATAGGAAATGCATTGCGTTTACCTTTATATATCAATTTGCTTACATTATCTACTAATAATAGCAATCTACTAACATTTGTTTGCCAGCAATCATATGGTTCAGATGGTTTTTGTCCTGAAAAAAAAAAAACTAATTGCCGAAACAATATATTCGTCGCCCGCTGCTTTGCGCGGGTAGGTGGCTAGTATATATATATATATATATATATATATATATATATATATATATATATATATATATATATATATATATAGATATATGATATATATATTATAACAGAAGAAAATGTCCACAAGTAAATTGTCATTTTATCTCTCTCTCTCTTCTCTCTCTCTATATATATATAAATATATATATATATATATATAATATATATATATATATATATATATATATTATATATATAATTGTCATCGATTCGTGTCCTCTTCCCATTGAGGAACCCCAAACCATACTGCCTGCACTGCTTGCCTCCACTGTTGAATCACCAACCGAGTCCGCCAACAAAACCACTAACAACACCTCCACCGCCTCCGGCGTAACAGTCGTCATCCCCCCGATCAACAGAACAACCATTTCCACCATAAGAACGGCCAATCCCGAAAAATACCGTCGTGCACGTCCTACCTCACATGCTCACTTTTCAGCCATTTGACAAATATGTTCCCCCTCTAGCTACTCTTCGAACTGACTTCCAAAACTTTGAGGACAATGTCCATGTTAAGGGGGAAGGAATTGATACGTTTCTAAGATAGTACTCAAGACCACCGCCATAGCCTGACTAATAGCCATGTTTCTTTTATTTAGTCAAAGAGTAGTTGCGTTTTATTAGGAACCCACTTTTCATTATGCATGTATGTTTCCTTAATTCGAGCTTTGCACTAGGTGATTGCATCTTTAAATTGTAAGTTCACAGTAAAGGTAAGCAGAAAATTGGTTTCAATTTATGTTCATGTGTTATCTCTCTTCTCTAAATGGTGTCTATCATAACCGAAAATAAGAACTCATTGCCATCATTGATTTGTTTTATCTTTTATGCCAAATTAGTTTTATGACTTTAATTGAATGTTTACTTCAGAAAATCTGAAGGTATCCAAAATATTTGAACTCTATAGCGTCTAATGAATCGTCAAATAACATTATATTTTTCATGCAGCTTTACCATTTATTTCAACAATGCATTGAACAATAATCTTTTTTCCCATAAACACTTAAATGACCATTAAACTACAAATCTACTAAATGTTAACTTGACATTGGATTTTGATTAAGTTTAATGCATTAATGCAAACTAAATATTATTCATCTCATTCAATAATTTCATTAAAACATACATTGTAGATTCGAATACAAAAATCCCAAGACAATTATTATTCACTAATGGCAAAGAAGTTACACCGTTCACAATAAACTTCTTAATCTAAAATTCATCGGTCACAATTGGGACATGAGTCCTAACAATGAAGAAGTTTTCATACATGAATCCAGCGAGTCCTCCACCAATGAGTGGACCGACCCAATAGACCCAGTGATCGGTCCAGTCACCGGACACTAGAGCCGGACCGAAAGATCTTGCCGGGTTCATAGATGCACCAGAGAAAGCACCTGCAGCCATGATGTTAGCACCCACCACAAGCCCAACTAAAAGTGGGCCTAGCCCTTCAAGAAAGCCCTTCTTTGGATCCACTAGAGTAGCATAAACAGTAAAGAGCAATGAGAAAGTCAACACAATCTCCATAATGACACCTTGTAATGAATCCATTCCGACAGCAAGTGTATGCACCGGCGTTGCCTGAAAGTTGCCGGAAAGAAGGTGATGTATAAGTTTTACTGCATAATGTACAACAACAGGCTTCTAAAGATTACTGTTTTAAAGTCAAATTTTACCAGTCCTCCGGTGAGGTAACTCAGGAGAGCACAAGCAGCAACTGAAGCAAGCAACTGATCAATCCAGTAAAGAACAGATCGAACGACGGTGATATGACCACCGACGCATAGCCCAAGAGTGACTGCCGGATTTAGATGGCCACCGGAGATTCTGAAGCCAGCGGAGATCATCACCCCCACCACTAATGCATGAGCCATTGCCACGAAAAATAGCCCAACCACCTCATTTCCCACCAGTTTCTCTGACAAATTCAACAATTAATCGAAGTTACATCCAACAATTCTCCAAAAAAATGTAAAAGAAATGAAGTTATTAAGTTGAATATGGGTCAAAATTTGAGTTATTCACCGGTTGTCATGGCAGCTCCAACACCAGCAAAGATGAAGAGAAAGGTGGCGATGAACTCGACAACGAGCGCTTGGATGCAGTCAGGCTTGGTCACCTCCTGGATTGAGCCGATCGCTATCTTGGCCATTGTTGCAAATCCGAAAGCTTCTAGTGATGAATTCAAGCAGAAATGGCCAGCGTCAGATTTATAGGGTAGAATTTTAGCTAGGGTGGTATTAATTATTTGAGATAAAGTAATATTCCATTGGCAATACATTGATAGTACTTGGGAGTTGGCACATCGTGACACTATCATCACCATGGTGGGCCACATGGATGATTGTTCCTCCATTGACTTCAAAAATGATTTCTTATATCCTTTGAACCGGGTCATTATGGGATTGAATATCCTATTGATAATTCGGGTCAAACAGAACTTAAGGTTATTGTTATATTAATCATGTATCCAATAAGCATGTTAAGATCAGATAACCAGCCGATATGGGACTAACCTACTTGATGGAGCCTTACCTTTTAAATTGGAGGTTTCGTTTCTTATCCGGGTATAGGTATAGGCGAATTCAACTAACTTGGAGATACTAACTTCTAACCGGTAAGCTGTTAAAAAAAATCGGATAACTGATATGTTAGTAATGAGTCCACTGTGATCTTAACGACACTCGTATTGTGTGACATGTTAATCATATATCCAACAATCCGCTAGGATTGGGTAATTCTCTGGTTAGCATGAATATAACTTGAAAGACTGAGAGTACAATTGGAGGAACCATGCACTGCCTGGACTCGAAGCCATGTTTTATTATGTGTGTAAGCCTCAAAACACTTATCCGAGAACGGTCAACATTAAATAATTGAATTAAAGGTTGCTTTTGTACAGTGTCGGGACTAAGGAGATAGTCATGGACACCCTAGGGAGTGTTCATACAATGACTTCACCAACTGCAAACCCAAAGCCTTTAATGGGAGTGGAGGAATCATTGCTCTATCGCAATGGTTTGAGAAAATGGAGTCTATCTTCGAGATCTGCTTCTGCCTTGAAGGAAGCAAAGTAAAATTTGCTGCCTGCACCTTCTCCGACAGGGCCCTCATATGGTGGAATGGCCATGTAAAGTCACTTACACTCATAGTGGCTAACTCAATGGGCTGGGAGACACTGAAAGATCTGATGAGAGGGGAATACTGCCCGAGGGGCGAAGTACAAAAACTAGAGCAGGAACTATGGGGCCTTACTATGAAAGGCTCTGACATAGTAGCTTACACTAATAGGTTTAGTGATCTAGCGGCTCTATATCAGGGGATGGTCCCCACGGAAAGCAAGAAAATTGAGAGGTATATCTGGGGACTGTTACCTCCATTTCAGGGGAACGTATTGTCTTCAAACCCCTCTACATTCGATAGTGCCAAACGCTTGGCACAAAGAATCATTGACCATGGAGTTCGTTCACAAGTAACAACCCCTGTCCGAGAACAAGCCAAAGCGATCGACAACAAGAGAAAGTTTTGGGACCGAAAGAAGAACCAATTGGCACAGAACCTCGCCAAGAAACAGCAAATTGTGGTTGTTCATGCTGCAACGACCCCTGTTATCCCTACACCAGTAAAGCAGTACGCTGGAAGTCTACCGAAATGCAGCAAGTGCAACTTCCATCACAACGGACCCTACCGGGAGATGCACTGTGCTAACTGCAACAGGAAGGGGCACACTACCCGTTTCTGTAAAGCAACGACTAGACCAATCACCCACGTCCCTGGTATTGGAGTAGGCCAGGCCTGCTACGAGTGCGGTGAAGTTGGACAGTACAAAAGGAACTGTCCAAAAGCAGGGAATACTGGTGGAGTAGGGAGAGTTTTGGCGATTGGTCATGAAGAAGCCGTGGCAGACCCTACGGTGGTCACGGGTACGTTTCTCCTCGATAACTCTTATGCATGCATACTATTTGATAGTGAAGCGGAGAGGAGTTTCGTGAATCAAAAATTTAAACACTTACTTAAACAACAACCACAAGCACTAAAAGAAACGTTCATCGTAGAAATGGCTAACGGGAAGACTGAGAGCACTAACGATATATACATAGGATGCACCCTCTCTCTAGATAGCTATTCATTTCAAATCGACCTCATGCCTGTCTCAATTAAAAGTTTCGACGTCATCATCGGCATGGATTGGTTGAGTCTCCATCGTGCTGACATCTTGTGTTTTGAGAAAGTCGTTCGCCTTAATCTACCTAACAGCGAAACCCTAGTTATCTATGGCGACAAACCAGGCACGAACCTTCAAATCATCTCGAGTATTCAAGCCCAGAAGTACTTAGAAAGGAATATCATGCGTTCCTTGCTCACATAGTTGATGTGAGCCAAAAGGTGAAAGACATAAAGAGCATCCCAGAAGTCCGTAATTTTACCGACATCTTTCCCGAAGATCTTCCTAGAGTGCCACCAGAACGCCAAGTCGAGTTCAGAATCGACTTAATTCCTAGAGCTACCCCTGTAGCCAAATCGCCTTACCAACTAGCACCACCCTGAGATGCAGGAACTATCCAGTCAACTGAACGAACTACTCAACAAGGGATTCATTAGACCAAGCTTCTCACCCTGGGGAGCACCGGTCTTGTTCGTGAAGAAGAAGGATGGATCGTTCCGTATGTTCATCGACTACTGCGAGCTAAACAAATTGACCATTAAGAACCGGTACCCTCTACCGCGGATAGACGACTTGTTCAACCAACTTCAAGGAGCAAGCTACTTTTCAAATATTGACTTAAGATCCGGGTATCACAGTTACGAGTTTTAGAGGAAGATGTTCCCAAAACAGCCTTCCGAACTCGTTATGGTCACTACGAGTTTGTAGTGATGCCTTTCGGATTAACCAATGCGCCCGCAGTGTTCATGGACTTAATGAACCGAGTGTGCCGTCCTTACTTAGATAAGTTCATGATTGTATTCATCGATGATATACTTATCTATTCACGCAGTGAGGAGGAACATAGTCAACACTTACGACAAATCTTGGAAACATTACGATCAGAGAAGCTTTATGCAAAGTTCTCTAAGTGCGAATTTTGGATTCGAAGAGTCAAAATTCTTGGGTCACGTGGTTAGCGAAGAGGGAATTCACGTGGACCCTTCCAAAATCAAGGCCATCGAGAACTGGTCAGCACCAAGGACGCCTACAGAAATTTTCGTCAATTCTTAGGCCTCGCTGGCTACTATCGCAGATTCATTCAGAACTTCTCAAAGATCGCAAAACCACTTACCACCTTGACCCAGAAGGGTGTGACCTTTGACTGGGAAGAAAAACAAGAGAAGGTGTTCCAAACGCTAAAGCAAGCTCTATGTAGCGCACCGATACTGTCCCTTCCCGAGGGGATAGAATATTATGTGGTGTACTGCGATGCATCCAACCAAGGGCTTTGTTGTGTTCTTATGCAACGGGGAAAGGTCATCGCCTATGCCTCAAGACAGCTTAAGACACACAAAGTCAACTACACTACTCATGATCTTGAGTAAGGAGCGGTGGTAATTGCTCTAAAGATCTGGAGACACTACCTATATGGTACGAAAAGCACTATCTTTACAGACCACAAAAGTCTTCAACATATATTCGACCAGAAGGAGATCAACATGAGACAAAGACGGTGGGTCGAGCTACTAAATGACTATGAACGCAAAATTCGTTATCATTCCGGTAAAGCCAATGTAGTAGTTGACGCCCTAAGTCGGAAGGAGTACTCAGGTCGTAGAGTCAAAGCATTGACTATGACTATCCATTCAAATCTGTCCACATAAATTAAGGAGGCTCAGCAGGAAGCCTTGAAACCTGAAAATGTGGCAGGTGCAACCCTAAGAGGAATGGATAAGAACTTAGGAGTCAAGGGTGACAGAGTCTTTTACCTCATTGATCGGATCTGGACACCGAAGCTCGGTGGTTTCAGAGACGTTGTCATGAACGAAGCACACAATACTCGATACTCCATTCATCCAGGTTCAGACAAGATGTATCTGGACCTCAAAAAGTTATATTGGTGGCCTAACATGAAAGCAGAAATTGCTACCTTCGTGGGCAAGTGTCTTACTTCTGCCAAGGTTAAGGTAGAATATCAAAAGCCCTCAGGTTTACTACAACAACCGGAGATACCTGAGTGAAAGTGGGAGCGGATTACCATGTATTTCATAACCAAGTTGCCCAAGACAACGGGTGGTCTCGATACCATTTGGGTGACCGTTGACAGGTTAACCAAGTCCGCGCACTTCCTACCAATCAAAGAAACTGACAATATGGAGAAACTAACCAGGACATACATTAGGTAAATCGTGCGACTACATGGTGTACCCATATTGATTATCTCTGATAGAGATAGTAGATTAACCTCAAGATTCTGGCAGTCGCTACAAAAATCCTTGGGGACGAGGTTGGACATGAGTACAACCTACCACCCACAAACTGATGGGCAGAGTGAGAGAACTATACAAACATTGGAAGACATGCTGAGAGCTTGTGTGATCGACTTTGGTAAAGCATGGGATATCCATTTACCATTGGTCGAGTTTTCATACAACAATAGCTACCATACCAGTATCAAAGTTGCTCCATTCGAAGCCCTCTATGACCGGAAGTGTAGATCCCCTCTGTGCTGGGCTGAAGTGGGTGACACACAACTAGATAAAGGACAAGTTCCTGACAGCACTCTCACTGGTCCGGAAATCATCAGAGAGATGACTGAAAAGATTGTTCAGATTCGTGAACGATTGAAAGCCTCTAGAGACAGACAGAAAAGCTACGCAGACAAAAGACGAAAACCTTTGGAATTTCAGGTTGGTGACCGCATGCTATTGAAGGTCTCACCCTGGAAGGGCATGATACGCTTCGAAAAGCGTGGAAAAATGAATCCAAGGCACATTGGGCCTTTCGAGATCATCGCTAGAATCGGTCCAGTAGCTTACAAACTCAAAATACCCCAAGAACTTAGCAACGTACACCCTACCTTCCACGTATCCAACCTAAAGAAGTGTCTGTCTGATGAGACTCTTGTTATCCCACTCGATGAAATCGAGATCAATTAGAGCCTCAACTTCGTGGAAGAACCAGTAGAAATCATGTATAGGGAAGTCAAGCAAACAAACAAATCCGTATACCCATAGTGAAGGTTCGCTGGAATGCCAAGCGGGGACCTGAATTCACTTGGGAGTGGGAAGATCAAATGAAACAAAAGTACCCACATCTTTTCCCTTAGTCCATGTGTATCACTTTAGTTTTAATTTCGGGACGAAATTCCCTCTAACGGGGGGATGATGTGACAACCCGTTAATTTCAATCTTGTAAAAGTCAAACTT